AGGAGAGAGAGAGAGAGAGAGAGAGAGAGAGAGAGAAAAGTCAAGCACTCGAGTGAGAGAGAGAGAGACAAAAGTCAAACACTCGAGTGCGATCTAACGGCCCGCATTCAAACCCGAAATCGATCCGACGGTCCACGAAAAACCCTAATTATAATTTAAGATTTGGCCAAAAGACACTAAATTAAAACACACTACGAGAGAGGTCTACTAGTCCAAATCCGCACCCGATCCAAATTTTACTTTTCACTAATCTCGGGCAATATCGACACTGGCCACAATAATATCGTCACCATCCAATTAAATTCGTCAAGAAACTCCAAAAAATTCGACACCAAAGTTCGGGCTCTAATTAACGGCCAAATTTGATCGAGTGCGATTTTAGCGAAATCTCTAAGTTAAAAATAACCCAAGAGTGATCAGTTCCGGGCGAGATTTTACTATAAACACACTGACGAAATACACGCTTTATAAATCCCAAAAATGAATCAAAATTCGAAATGTCACGGGCGAGCTCGACCTCGCCCAGCGACGGCGAGGTCCCGCTAGATCTGGGCGAGGCCTTGCCATCGCCGGGCGAGCTCAACCTCGCCCATGGCCAGCGAGCTCGACTTCGCCCATGGCCTGGTAAGGTCGAGCTCGCCCAACGATAGCAAGGCCTCGCCAGATGTGGGCGAGGCCTCGTCGGCCATGGGCGAGGTCTCGCCAAATCTAGGCGAGGCCTCGCCGTCGTCAGACGAGCTCGACCTCGCCCATGGCCGGCGAGGTCGGCCTCGCCATGGTCGGCAAAGTCACCTCGCCGGCGAGCCTTCCCTTGGCCGGACCGGCCAGGGGGAAGAAGGAAAGAAAAAAAAAAGAGAAAGGAAAAAAAAATTAAAATAATGCCACGTCGGCCGGCCGGCGTCCATGTCAGCGCTGGCCGGCCAAAAGTGGCTGGATGACTGAATTGGCACAATTGCAAAAGGTTTAGGACTGAAATGGCAAAAAAAAAAGGTTTAGAACTGAATTAACACAATTGCAAAAGGTTTAGGATTTTTTTGGTAATTTTCCCGTTTTCTTAATTTTACTATTTCAATCAAATGGGTTGAAAGTGGGTTTATTACGGATCCCAAATAAGACCAATCTTTGTTGGGCTTTTCTATAATTGAAACTTGAGGCAACCCGTATATAAATTACTCCAATACATTTAAGTTAAAATATGGATTTGTGACTCATTGGACATTAATAGTCAAATCTATTAATGTAACTATTCGATAAAATCTTCTCACATTTTATCATACGCAAAATTTTGAATCCAGGAATTATCAGGTCATATGGATCATGGAGCCTTATTTCTACAAACTCAAGTGTGAGCTAAATTACTGCGTGTACCAATAAAATAGGATGCATAAAGCATGTACTCACGTAGCTAGTTAGTACTAGAATTCGCGGATGTGCAAATTAGCACGAATTAGCATTAATCGTTGTATGAAATTAAACAATACATTCTTTAAAATGATATCAACACAAACATACTATAGAAAAGGTAAAATCGTGAAAGAAAAGGAAAAACAAGAAGGTGGTGAAGGTAGTTTGGAATTAGTGGACGATAAATATTAATTATGTTGCATTAATATATGCTTATCAGCTAGTAAACAGTTAGGGATTTTTCAAAGAGAAAATGAAGAGCGATGAATTAAGTAGGAAACCCTCTTTTTATATATGCGACTTATTAATGAAAATTTACCATATTGAGTTATTTTTTGGATACGTGATAGAGATTAGAGAACTAGATATATAGTCGAATTTAAGATGCTGTAATCCCTGTGGAACATCTTAGGGCATTGTTGGCTTGACATCGGATTGATCGCAGGTCACATTTGGGGTTACCAAGTATGAAAACTGATTGCTAACTCTCTCTCCCGCTGGAGAGCTTCCCCTCTATCCATGGAGATAGTCATCCCCACTAAACCCTAACCTCCTGAGTAGATTTCTTCCCTTTCCATCCTTCACATCCTGAATATGGAAACAACACAGCCACCCACAATCCCCCACGCCACCGATACCCCACAGCCACCCAATCACCCACAGAACCAGCCACACAAAAAACCCTAGTGTTCATTTAAGCTTTCTGTCTTCCATTTAGTTTTAGGAATCAATCCTTCCAAACAAACCAACATGAAAAAACCACGTATTCTCAATCCACCAACAGTCACATTAACCCGACTACTTTCTTACCGTCATCCACCCACTTTTTCAACGAAATCCATCCCAATGACTCGTACCCAGAAAATGCAAAACAGACTTTGAGCTCCCTTCAATCCTGGAACCCTTATCCCTTCTTAGCAATTGCTGAAGCTGAAAGTAGAACCAAGGCAGCAGTTTATCCGAGGAATGAGAACTCCAGAAGTGCAATTGAAGGCGCACTCCAGGTTTGATGTTTCAATAAACTTCTCTTTCTGTGGCCCACCCTGCTGAAATGAGTTACCCTGGCTTTTGCTGCAATAGTATATAGAAATGGAGAAAGAATTAGAGAGAGAGAAGAAAATGGCAGCACTTTGCAAACGTATGGGTAAAATGTGGACAAAAGACTCTGTAGTTAAGGTGTTTGAGGAAATTCCCGAGAGGAAAATAGAGGAACGTCAGCTGACTTTATTGGGGAAACTCCATTCAAAGCCTAATGTTAACTTCCAAGCCTTCCAATCGACAGTGTTGAAAGCATGGAAAACAGAAAGGGTAGTGTGTGATCAGGCACAACAAGGGCTCTTTACCTTCACTTTCACATCTGAAATGGAGAAACGAAGAGTGTTGGAAGCTAGCCCATGGTCCTTCTCAGGTAATCTACTTATTCTTCAACAGTTGAACCCCAAGTTGCCCATACACCGTCACACCTTCATTCATTGCCCTTTTTGGGTACAACTTCATGGGTTACCCTTAGTGTGCATTACTGAATCAATCATCAAAGAAGTAGCCTAAAAAATTGGAGATGTATTAGAAGTAAAACTGGGAACAAAGGAGGGTAGCCCGTGTAAGGTTGGTAGGGCTCGAGTGTCACTTGACTTGTTGAAACCTTTAGTCTCGGGGGTTATGCTAGATTTCGAAGAAGAAAATTTTTGGATAGATTTCAGATATGAACGCCTACCCCATTTTTGCTACTCATGCGGAAAGATAGGCCACTATACAACTAGTTGTGAGGAGGTGCCTTATAACGAGACCAAACTCAAACCTATCAATGACGGACTATTTGGCTATTGGATAAAAGCGGAGGCTAAGGAGCATAGCCCATTCTGGGAGATGTTTCACAAGGTGGAGGGTGAAGAGTCGGAGGTGGAAGAAGTTATTCCAGTGACATCGCTTCAGGAAGAACCATCTGAAAACAGTCAAGCTATGGGCACTACGGAGATGCAACAACCTGCAATAGTCCAATACACCAACCAGAATCAAGAGGGAAGCATTTGGAGGGCTTTGGGGAAGAGACCACAGGAAGCTCAGCTGCTGATTTCCGATGTTCCTTGGGTGGAAACCCCCTCGGTAAGCATTCCAAGGAAAGCAAAAAGCTCTAGAAATGGACTAAAAGTTCCTGCAACAAAGAAGGTACGAAGGCATAACCCCTACTTACCTCAGGGAGCTAATTTGAAGAGAAGTGATGATGACCTGCTGCATGATACCCCGATAAGGGTAGAGGAAGACCCCAAGTTGTGGGCTTTGGTGGCTAGCCCTAATAAGCCACCGGGAGATAAATGAAGTTCTTGAGCTGGAATGTCCGGGGGTTGGGTTCTACCCTGACATTCCAGCATCTTAGAGCCCTAGTGGTTCAAGAAAGACCCAATGTTATGTTCCTAATGGAGACAAAAAATAGAAAGGAAGTAGTGGAAAGAGTCCAGAAGCAACTAAATTTTCAGAAATCCACAATAGTGGATCCGGTAGGAAGAGCGGGAGGGCTAGTGGTGATGTGGTGTGAAGAAATCCAATTGGAGATCTTGGAGTGCTCGGCTGACTTTATAGATGTATCTTGTCAAGAGCCAATGAGTGGACAACACATGAGGATTGGCTTTGTGTATGCTTCAACAAACTATCAGGAAAGACTTACTTTATGGCAAAGGATGCAAAGAATTCATACTGAAAACGTCTATCCATGGGTTTGTATGGGAGATTTCAATGAGATCTTATACCACTGGGAGAAGATAGGGAAGAAAGAAGCGGACTACTACCGGCTAGCAGCATTTCGAAGGATGATGACAGACTGTGAGCTCATGGATGTGGAGAGTAAGGGTTGTGCTTTTACCTGGACAAATAATAGAGAAGGGGAAGAACTAATCCGAAAGCGGCTAGATAGAGTTGTGTGCAATATGAACTGGCGTGTCATGTTCGCGAAGGCGGAAGCTATTGCACTACCGGCTATTGGCTCGGACCATAGCCCTATCTTGCTATCGATACACCCCCAAAGAAGAAATCAGAAAAAATTGTTCAGGTTTGAGCCTTTCTGGCTTGAAGATCCGGAATGTGATGAAATTGTTAAAAAAGCCTGGAGAGGCCACAGAACGAGCAACCAAAACATGGCAAGCAAATCAGATGCAGTGAGGAGGGCATTAATTGAATGGAGTAGGAGGAAGTTCTCGAATGCACATCTTCAGATTACCAACCTTATGGGCAGGCTCACTATGCTTACTAATAAACCAGAAGGGGAAGCCAAAAGAGAGGATATTCAGGAGACAAAAGAGAAAATTGAGATGCTGTGGAGACAAGAGGAAATGTACTGGAGCATGAGATCTAGAATTAAATGGCTGAAATGAGGCGATAAGAATACGAGATATTTTCATGCTACCACAATCCAGAGAAGGCAGAGAAACAGAATCACTACCTTAAAGATTGGGGAGGACAAATGGACCCGAGACTATCGAGAATTAAAAGAACATATACAGGCCTTTTATCTATCGTTGTTTTCCACTGAAGGGCCTACAAATATATAACCAGTGTTGAATCAGTGTCCGAATCTAGCTAAGGAAGGAATGAATGAGGCTCTAATGGCTAAGGTTACAATGGAAGAGATTAAAGCAGCGGTGTTTCAAATGGGGGCCACAAAAGCACCGGGACCAGATGGGCTAAATGGACAATTCTTCCAAAAACATTGGGAGCATGTGAACCAAGATGTGTATGGAATGGTGGAAAGTTTCTTTAATACCGGTCTTCTTGACATGTCACTAAATCGCACACACATAGTAGTGATCCCTAAAGTTATGAACCCGGAGAGCATCAACCAATACAGGCCGATCAGCTTGTGCAATTTCAGCTATAAGATTATTTCTAAAGTTATGGTTAATAGGCTTAAACAGTGGCTTCCCGACCTTATTTCCCCTGAGCAAAGTGCATTTGTCAGTGGCCGGCAAATACAAGATAACATCTTAATTGTACAGGAAGTCTTACATCAGCTAAGAGTGCGGAAAAGGGTAAAGAAGTTCCAAGCAGTCCTGAAGTTAGATATGCAAAAGGCCTACGATAGGGTGGATTAGGACTTCCTCTGTTCCAATATGATTCAGATGGGATTTTGTGAGAGGTGGGTGAATCTTGTTAGACAGTGCATATCCACAGTCTCCTACGGAGTTAGAGTAAACGGGGAAACTCTACCATATTTCAATCCTACTCGAGGCATTCGACAAGGTGATCCTCTTTCCCCTTACTTATTCATCATTATGGCTAACGCTCTGTCATCGTTAATGCACAAAGCAGTGGAGGACGGTACAATTAAAGGAATCAAACTCAATAGGTGGTGCCCGACCTTATCGCACCTACTTTTTGCAGACGATGCTATCTTTTTCCTTGACGGGTCAACTCAAGAATGTCAAAATGTGGCAAATATCATGAATCAATATTGCCAGGCTTCGGGACAAGCGGTTAACCTGAATAAATCAGGAATCTTCTTTAGCAAAGGATGTCCACAGCAGGTGAAAAATAGACTAGCCGAGGAGCTTAGAGTGCCGATAATTGAAAAAATGGGGAAATACTTGGGCATTCCATCGGACTGGGGCCAATCAAAGAAAGAAATGTTTGCATGGGTGCTTGCAAGGGTGCATTCCAAGCTAGAAGGATGGAACGCAAGGCTAATGTCGAAAGCTGGCAAAGAAATCCTCATTAAAACAGTAGTCCAGGCGCTCCCTCAATATGCGATGTCAATTTTTAAAATCCCGATCTCCGTTTGCAAGGCCATAGAGAGAAGAATTGCTGCATTTTGGTGGAAGCAAAAAGCTGACACAGAAGGGATTCACTGGAAAAGTTGGGAAACTTTGAAGAAAAGAAAAGACTTGGGAGGACTGGGGTTCAGGGACCTTATCACTTTGAACAAAGCCATTTTGGGGAAACAAGCCTGGAGACTGGTGCATGAACCTGAAGCTTTATGGAGCCAAGTTTTGAAAGGCCTCTATTACCCACAAGGACAGTTTTGGCATGCAAAAAAAGGCCATCGACCATCGTGGGGTTGGCAAAGTCTGATTGTGGGAAGAGAAGCTATAGAAAAGGATGCCAGATGGAGAGTCGGGGATGGTAGGAAAATTAAAACTAGAGAGGATGTATGGCTCCCTATAGGGAAGATTGGAGGTCCAGCAAGGCAGAATGAACCACAACAGGTGGCTGACCTTATCAACCAGGAAACCCACGAATGGAAAGAACAAGCATTGAAAGAAATCTTTCAAGAGGAAGTGGTGAATCAGATATTGCTAATCCCTATCAGCACAACTCCAGTAGAGGATAAATTGATATGGACAGGCACCAAATCAGGAGATTATACAGTCAAAGGGGGCTACAACCGCATCCGAATGACAGATAGCATGCAAGATAATAACAACCTGGCCTCATCATCATACCAGCCACCTAGAAACCTATGGACTTCAATTTGGCAGCTACCAGTTTACCCAAAGATACGTTTCTTCCTATGGAGCTTATGTCAAAATGCTCTCCCAACTCGAGAAAACCTCTATAAACGCAAGTGCGTACCTGACCCTCTTTGTCCCATCTGTCGCAACCATCCTGAAACCACAGAGCACCTATTCCTGCTATGTAAATGGACAACCCAAGTTTGGTCAGATTACAGAATATGCATCAACATACAGCCGGCCCAAATTACTCGTACCGAAGCATGGCTAGCAACGTACCTCGCAATTGGTCTGAACAGTGAAACGTCCTCCCCACTGGCACGCATAGCGGACTGCTTATGGCAGATCTGGAAAGGGCGAAACGCCCTGATTTTTCGCAAGCGGAAGCCGAACCCATGGCTGGTGGTAGAGGAAGCCATTAATACCGGGAATAGCTACACAAAGTTCGCCATCATCAAAGAGAAAACACGAGGGCAGAAACTGAAGGAAGCCCCCGAATTTTGGAAGCCGCCGGAGAAGGGGAGCCGTAAATGGAACGTAGACGCGGCCTGGAGCGCCGATTCGGGGAACGGATCTGTTGCGGGACTATGCCGAGATCACGAAGGGAGGATGATCGACGGGTTCGCCAAGGGTATCTTGGCACCGAACTCCTCCGCAGCCGAAACCCTAGCCATTCGAGAGTGCCTGCAACACGAGCTCAAGAAGGCGAAGCACAGAGACGTCCACAAACTAAAGGAGGGGAAGTACAAAGAAGTCCACGAACTTGGAAGTACAACAGTGGAGTTCAACTCTGACTGTTCCATGTGTATTAAGTGGATAATGGGCCTTGAAATTAGCCCATGGTCAATCCAATCGGTCGTCAGACTGCCAAAGCTTATTAGTCCAATTACCGCACGGATCAATCTCTTTTTGCGACCGAGAAACGAATCAAGCCGCCGATTGCCTAGCCCGGGCCCATCAAAAAGGCCTTCTCAAACCAAACTGGCTCTTGCACCCCCCTTCTTTCCTTTTATCAATACTTTATTCGGATATCATGATCTCTTGTAACGAACTATCTTCTAAGTAAATGAAATTACAAGAGCTTTATGACCAAAAAAAAAAGTATGAAAAACATTACATCGATACCATTATTGTAGTTCTCTCTTCAATATTGTTCCATATATTAAGATTGATTTACAAAAATAATATTATATATTTATATTAAATGCGATCCATGTGTAATTTGTCAGGTTAACCATTCTATACTTTTGTAGACTAGTGTCAAAATATAAAGCATTACTCGTTTATTTAAATTTTTCCATGCGATACTTTTTTGGTACACTAAGAAGCCCAAGTATTTTTTTCGACCAATCATTTGAAAAGCATTGCCTAACCTTGAATTGATCAATTGCAAACTAAACTTAATAAATCCTTTTTCCGGGAAAATAAATAAATGAAATGATAGTGACCCAAAATCAAAATAATAGTTTCAACTGGTTTAGAAATACTTTTACTATCAAAATGGGGAAGGTCATTGGACTTTTGGCTTGAATTCCATTCCACCTAAACTGCGCGATATATATGATTGGGAAAATTAAAGGTGTTTTGAATCTGCGATGTTTTCTTCCATCCAAATTAATTATTTACATTAATTGTTATGGATTACGTTCAACGTTCAAAGAATACAATAATGGCATTTTTTCTGTCGTGATTTATTTTTTTGGTGGAATTCTCATGATTGATACATATGGTTGATAACGTGGAAAGTACCTAAAAACCTCCAACTCAGGTTTCACTTTCTAAAGCCGAGTGACTTAGTTAATGCACCCTAATAATGGAAAATGGCCAGCAACGTTCCTCGCATTCAGCCCATGGTATGCTTGGAAAAAGATTTAGTCTCCAAAAATAACCAAAGGTCATTTAGAATCATTTTATTAAATCAAGCCAATTATATAATAAAAAAATGAAAGACTTCCATTGCTCCCACAGTAAAACACATTATTTTACCATTCTTGTAGTTAGCTCTATTATTCTATCCATTCAATCGCCATTGTATTTGGCAAAAACAAAAAACAAAAAAAAAAATTAAACATCGCATGAGAAACGGGCCCTATTAATCTCAAGTCAATTTGAGAAATCGTTAGATTAGTGTAGTATATGAATCAAACTGAATTCAAACCATTTAGATGGATGAGTTTTATCCAATCTGACAGTCGAAACTTGATTTAGCACGTAAGTGATAGGTTTAATGAGTAATTTCCCCGTAATTTTTCACTAGTGTCTTCATTGGAATTATGGGTCCACCCCCTGAAATCTGCAGCCCAAATAGTGAAGAAATCCATAACCCATATCAGATTTGGTTTGTCTCCTTCTTTGCATTGAATGCACTTCCTGTCATGCCCCGAACCCCCATCGAGCTTGCGACATCCCCTGCTGCGGTCGAATTTGTTGCGACGTCCCAGGAACGTCGCCGACCCAACCCAGACATCAGAGCCACATGCGGAAGCGAATAACAAAACCCCGGACAAATAATGACGACAACGGGATAAAACAACAGAACAATCCAGCAACCACATATTCATACAACACCAAATATACAAACATCATATTACAGACATAAATACAGACTAACATCCTCAGCCACCGTTTAAACAAAAGTTCAGGGGTTTGATTACCTTAACTTCACTATCGGATTACCCAAGTTATACAACCGCTAAAACACCCTAGGGAAAAACCTAAGGGTCGCCCTCTTCCATTCTGCTTCTGAATCTTCGGGTCTGAGTCTCCGGACACTCACCTGCAACTCCACTGGGCACCAAAATCAGCTCCCCGAACTTCCAAAAAGAAAAGGCGCACTTCCCGGGTTTAGGGCTGAGGGTCTGAAATTGGCGGTTATACAACCGTGAGACGAATCTCAATAAGTGTACAACCCCAAACCCCACGTAGGCACTCACGTACCGCCAGACAAAAACACGCATAACATGCAACGATCAATCAAACTACCAACCACACACGAACCTACCTGGAATCCATCATACACGTTCCTGCACGTTAGACAATAACACAATCAATATACCACAGCAATAAATCACAGACGCGCGTGTGTCTCAATTATGAGATAAAACCCACTTGGGCACGTCCCATACCGTGCCTAGCAGTTTTTACCCCATGATTAAGCATCACATCACGCGATATAAACACACTCGCACACCACTCACACCATGCGTCACTTTCTCAAACCTCGCTCCTCAAGCCAATTTCCGCTCATTCTCAACTCTTCCACCACTACCACGCCCGCGTAAAACGCATCAGGCCAACGGTCTTCTGACCTCGTCAGGCATCGTCATCCCGTCGGGCCGGGCATCGTCACCTTGTCAGGGACGGCATCGTCCCGCGTAAACGTACACGCCTCAGGACGGAATCCTACACACACTTTCCTTCTACCGCGCCCGCGTAAAACGCATCAGGCCAACGGTCTTCTGACCACGTCAGGCATCGACACCTCGTCAAGCCGGGCATCGTCACCTCGTCAGGGACGGCATCGTCCCGCGTAACGTGCACGCCTCAGGACGGACCTTTTCAACCAAACCACATTTCCATATCCTCGCTCCACTCAAACCACACTTACACACGACCAACAAACACACGGCCAAACATACACATTTCACACACACATTTCACAATTTCTCATCCTCGTCACACGAACACGCTACCCAATCACACATTATTGGCACGCGAATGCACTACCACACCACCACACCACCACACTTCCACACTTCACGGCCACACACACGCGACACATGGCCAGTCCACAATCAGCCCAAGCACAATCCCAAATCGGCCAACAACCACACAATCATATCACAACACATACGATCAACACACAAACTGGCATTTCTCCACACCCAAACGTTATCAAATTAGTTCAGGCCCTTCACGGCAATTTCACAAAATCTCGGGCCGGACCTAACAGTACCAACCACATGACAAACAGCACCCCACAGCACCTAAAACCACACATCACAGCCATCAATCAGACTTTTTCGCCCCCAAAATCACCATATCTCACTCCCGGCTCTTCATGGCACTTTCATAAAATTACGAGCCGGTCCTAATGGTACTAACCGTGTATCGAACAGCCACTCACAGCACATCACACGGCATATCACAGCCAGCAAACAGTATTTTCTGCACCCAATTTTATCCCGATCAATCCGCAACATCACAGCCTTAACTCAGCCTCCTAAACCTCGAAATTTCATCGCCAAATCAGTCCACGACAAACCAATTTCCAGCCCTTGATTCAGTCCCGAAATAGCCACAAAAACAGCCCCTAAAATGCCTAAATCAAGTCCTAAACGGGCCTAGAAATACCCGAGGTCCTAAATGACATTTGGGGAAAACACTTACCTAAGAGAAACAAGGCAGCTCGGCTGGACAGGGGCGGGAACAGTGGGCCAGCAGCAGCAGCGGCGTCGCCGGCGTACGGACACGCGACGTACGGACGCCCGTACGGACACCGTACGGATCCGTACGGACACCGACGTACGGCGACGTACGGCGAGGCTGGACGTCCCTGTGGCAGCAGCTCGCCCGTTCGAGCTCCGGCGCGGCGGCGATCGGCCTCCAAGCGGCGGTTCTCGGCTTTCCTTTCGCCGAACGGGGAAAAAGAGGGAGAGAAAGACAAGATGGGGCGGTGCTGCTGGTGGGTGGTGGCTGGACAAGGCAGCAGCAGCGACGACGGCGGTCGGCGTGGCTCCGGCGAGCTCCGGCGAGGACGGCCAAGGAAGAAGGAAAACGGAGGAGGAGGAAGAATCGTGGGGGAGGGGCTGCTGTGGGTGGTCTGGCCGAATAGGGCTGGGAGGAGAGAGAGAGAGAGAGAGGGTCAGCTGGTCAAATATGACAGCCCCCAAGTGCCACGTGTCGCGATCCTACGCACTTTGACCATTTTACCCTTGATCCGACAGCCCTTATTTGTCCAAATCCAATAATTGAGGGGTAAAAGTGTCCAAGGCCCAATAATGCAGCTGAAAAACCATTAATAATAATCCCAAATAATTACCCAAAATTCGGAACTGAAACGGGCCCAGGGGCAAAATTGTCATTTTTCCGGTCCCGGGGCGAAATTCTAATTTTCGCACATACGCGTTCCATATATGCGTGGCCAACCTAATATGGTGTCGGAATCGCGAAATTCATCGCGCAAGCCCTCGAAAATCCACGTCAAAGTTTCGGGAATAAAATAATATTATTTTTCCAATTTTTGTCGAAATTCCAATTTTTGTCCATAACGACTCCCGGTATGCGTGGCCACCCAAAAATGGCGTCGGCCTCGAAAAATAACCTCAAACGACCTCAGAATCGCCATCGGTGACCAGAGGGGCAAAATCATAATTTTCCGGGTCCCGGACCGAAATCCATTTTTTTGCAGAAATGGGTGGCCTCAAGGTTGGCCAAGCCAAAAACGTCATCGGCCGCTCAAAATTGTCACTTTCAAAATTCTCGATTCCCGGGCCCGAATTCCAAGAAATGACTAAAATCAAACAATCGCGACTTTAGCTTATCTCTTGCTAACGGGTGGCTCATTGGGATTACGCGCTCTCGACCTGTGACCGACACTAAGACAAATCACGTTTAAGTTTGCTCGAACCAAGACGACCTCGATTGTCATATAATTGCGAGGGTCTGTCACTAGTGCCCTTTGGACACGATCAATCAAATAGATCGGTCTCGGTTGGCTCAAAACATTCCCTCGTCAATCGATATGGTCGAAGATCGAACCCAGGTCGAGTTCTTTGGTCGTGCGAACTCAATCCCGTAATAG